GGTAAATGAAAATTGCCTATTTCTGTTCATATGAAAGTTTGAGGTATCTGGACCATCACGGTGACTAGCGGGTTGTTGTTGTCCTAGTTCTGTTTTGCTTACAGTCCCTTTCCTAGGACTTTTGTAGTGAGTCAAATCTTTTTGCCAATTGTTGTAACAATTCCATAAAGCTGTGGACTATTACATGTTCTTTAAATTTTCCAGTAGTAGTGCCATGGAAACAGTGAGCCCCGGCTTCACCTCTCTTCCAACCAGGCTTTCGGGCATAATAGCTACCCCTGGAGTTATGGTGCAGACTTGGAGGGACCATACCATCATCCGTAGTGGTTCATGGCAGTTGTTATGTGCCAGGCACTGTTCTAGGCCTTTTATTTGTATGAATCCATTTATGTAGCTTTGTGCTTCTTCTTTATGAAAATTGAACATACATAGATGTGTGCGTACATGAGTACATATGCATACATCTGTCATAGGTGGAGCATAGTTCCTGGCACATAGTACTCCTTCGTGAAATGTTATTTTCTCCACCGTCATCCTCTACCAGGCAGCATTTGTATTGCTAATATTAATTCCTTGAAGGAAAGCATCCTGCGTGGTGGAGGTGGTGGTGGAACGAAGAAACTGTGACCGGGCTGCACTGCTTCCTGCCTGTGGCTGCTGCCTGGCCACCCTGGCTGGGCTCAGGCCCAGCTGCTGGTGTGTCTGGTGTGTGGGAGGCCACAGACTCCACCTGGCCTCCTCCAGTGGCTGAAAGAGGTCTGCAAACCACCAGTGTCCGTGCCAGGGCCCTGACTTGCACCTGGGCTGAAAATTCCTGGCAGGGGGTGTCTGACTTTCTGCAGCATGATGAATAGCAGCAGTTCACTTTCTGAAAGCTGGGATGCATGTAGGTAACACCTGCCTGACAAAGATTTACAACTGCTCCCCAAGCTGCCTCTGTAGATTGCAAAACTGGGTCACGCTCTTTACAAGAGCCATACCTTGGAGGAGGGGTAGAGGCGGTTTTATTTATTTATTTATTTATTTACAAGACTCCATTGAAGGGAATGGAGGCGGGTGGTCTTAGGAGTTCTGAGGTGCTTGTTCATGTCTAGCTGGCCAGCTGCCCATGTGACTAGGAGTTGAGGGGATGAAAAACGATTTCCAGCCGAACTTGGCTGTTTTCTAAATAACTTCATGCTGGGAAGATGAATTGGGTGAGAATGGGCCAGCCCTGAAACAAGTTCCGTACTTTTAAATACTGGACACACTGTGGCTTAACCTCTGGGAAATGAACCGAAGCAGCTCAATGGCTGGTGCGCTCACGCAGGCAGCTCCATTATTACAGCCTGGCTCTCCGAGTTCTCGGACTGAGGGACTAGCGGGCCGTGGGCACCTATTCAGAGAGTAAGGCTCCATGTGCGGCTCATGATCCTTCTGTGGGAGCACTTGCCGTAATGGAAAATATCCTTCACTTTTAGTGTGGTGAGCGGTAGCCCGACTCAATTTGTGCAGGCCGGCTGGGTTGCTCTGGGTTCTCATTCAATTAGGTGACTGATGAAGTTACTTAGCTTGCCAGAGCTCAGCTTTTCCTTTGCTAGGAAAGAGCCTCAGGTGGGCTGGGCCTGTGTATTCCAGTAGGGAATCAGAGGGCTGCCTGAGAAGTTGATCATCCAGTGACTGTAGGGCATATCCTGCCGCCTCCTCCTCACCCAGGAAGCCTCTGCTGCTTTCTTGCCTTTGAAGTAGATTCTTGCTTGAGCTACCAGACCTGTTCTTTCAGTTCTGTGCGTGCCATGGAAGGACTGAGGGAAAAGAAGGGAAGGGAAGGGGAAGGAAAAGGAAAGGGAAAGGGAGGAAGGTTGGTTTCTATGTCGTCCTCTGAAACAACATGGCCCTGTTCTTTGTCCCTTTCTTTTGGTTAAAGGATGGCTTTCACATAGCACTGTAATCCCATGTTGGTAATCCCAGATACTCAGGAGGCTGAAACAGGAGGGTCACAAGTTCAGGGTAACATGATCAATTTAGCAAGACCTTGTCTCAAATTTTTCAAAGATCTAGAGTATAGCTGAATGGCAGAGTGCTTACCTAGCAGGTGCGACACCTTGGGTTCAGATCCCAGCAACACAACAAAAACAAAACAAATAAGAAGATCAGTTTCCCTGAGATACCTTCTTGGCCAGGTCAGCAGTTTTGAACCTCTCGTAAGGTGAGCTACTGTTACTGAACTCTGGAGGAGGCCTGGCGAACGTGCAGAGGTGTGCTTTCTGAAGAACAGCACCCTCAGGCCAGGGCTGTCCTTGCAGAGGAGGTGAGAAGCGCTGGCAGGCTTGGAGAAATTTGAGGGACTCCCATTGAAGGAATCTTTCTTTTCTAATCAGCTACCCAAGAAGAAATGAGGTAGAGCAGTCTAAGCCCCCCGAGATGCTCTTAACCAGAGCTCTAATTATTTCTGCATTGCTGTTCCAAGTATTGTCATTTGCAGAGCTCTGTTCTGCTTTGTATTAGACTGCATAATAAGAATTCTTGGTTGTCACCGCAGTGCTGAAAGGTAGGCTGGCTGGGATTCATTTAGGCCTTCTTATCCCTGCCAGACTTCTAAAGCCTCTGCTTCAAAAGAACTTGCAAAATCAACTCTGCTTTGGTTGTGTCTCTGGTTACTTCTGCCTCCTGCAGCTCGTTGGTTTTTTAATGTACCATAATTGGGAATTAATCTGCGAACAACAGCATTTGGAAAAAATTAATTGTGTGTGGAATGTTTGATAATTATGTGCATATGTTAACCACTTCTTTGCTGTTTGTCATTTCAGGCATTGCTCACCGTGATCTGAAGCCTGAAAATATATTGTGTGAATCTCCAGAAAAGGTACTAAGGACCTGCTTTTGGGATGTCCCAGTTTGTACTGATCAGGAAAGCCACCCTGATTTCAATATACTGTAGATTGTGAGCAGTTCCCTCAGCCTCAGGTACAACTGCAGCCAATTGCCGTGCACTCATGAGAATGCTGGGCCGCGTGTGTAATGCTTCAGCATTCCAAATAGGGTTAGTTCTTGTCCCTTCTTTGTTCTTTGTCATTAAGATGATTGGCTTACACATACATCTTGTGAAATAAATGAGATCTACACAAAATTAGCATTTTCTGGGCCTGTGTACCTACATTTAGAGTAGTTGATCAGAGTCAGAGACAACTCAGTCTTACGTGGGCACATCTCTGCTCACAAATATTTGTGGTGTGTGGTATGTATGCTTTGTGATGTCTACCATTAGAAATAATAATTAGAAGCCTGGTGTGGTGACCCATGTTTATAATCCAGGCTATTCAGGAGGCTAAAACAGAAGAATCACAAGTTTGAGGACAGCCTGGGCAGGGCAGTCATATCCTTTCTCAAAATAGAATTTTAAAAGGACTGGTTGTATAGCTCAGTTACAGCATGCTCGCCAGCATGCTTGAGGCCCTGAATTCAATCCACAGTGCCACTAAAAGAAGAAGAAATCATTAGGGGCTTTGCTTTGCTTTGTTTTGGATTTTTTGTTTTATTTTGTTTGAGACAAGATCTTGCTGTGTAGTTCAGGCTGGACTTGAGTTCATTATATAGCCCAAAGTGGCCTCAAACTCCTGGTGACCATCCTGCCTCAGGCTCCTAAGTGCTGGGAGCACAGGGTATACCACCACACCCAGCAAAGAAGTAATAATAAGGAAGGAAGCTCTTGAGAAGTGTTTCAGTTTCCAGTTCTATTTCCAGAAGTGCCCATAAAAGAGAAAACATCTATGCTTGATATTGATTAAATGCAACCTATTTTAAACATTGCCTTAACCCACTTCACTAGTAAAGAGAAGTTACTGCATTTCCATAACAGCATATTAAATTGGTAAGCTCTGTGTGTGTTAGGAGAGATTTAGGCCCAGTAGTATTGGTGGCTCACGTCCGTGGGTCCATTTGTATCCATAAACATGCATAACCAAGAGCTACCTGTCTTGGCATGGATGGAGCCGTGGCTCACGTGTAAGGCACGACTGCAAGTGAAGTGTGAGTCAGCTTGCTATGCACAGCTTTCTGAGGGCAAAAACAATGTACTAGCTCAGGTAAAATCCTGTGACTTCCTGTCCATGGTTCTGACAGACAATTTGTAATTCCTCATTATTATGATTATCATAAATGATTACAATTAAAATTTCTGGAGTGCTTACATTGCAAAGACTTATATGCCTGCTTAGGATTTATAGATTTATTTTGCATGAAGAGACTGAAGCTCATAGAGATTAAGAAATTGACATGAAGTTAGTGCCTGGTATGTAGAAGAACCTAGATTAAAACTGAGGTGGGGGCTGGGGAGATAGCTCGGTGGCATAAGCACCTGCCTGGCAAGCACAAGGTCCTGAGTTTGATCCCCAGTACTGCACATTGTGCAGGCCCCAGGACTGGGTGTGGTGGTGCACGCCTGTACTCCCAGCACTGAGAAGGCTGAAACAGGAGGATCATTACAAGTCTGAACTGCATAGCAAGACCCTGTATCCAAAAAAACAAAACAAAACAAAAAAAAAACCTGAGGCGGGCTGGCCCCCACTGCTATGGGCCTCTGAACTACCCACCATTGCCTCTGATTTACAAGGAATTTTCATTTGATTCATTTGCTCTTCATGGCATAAGTTTATTGCCCCCTTTTTATTATTGGAAAAACTAAAAATAAAAGAAAGTAAAAATACAACCTATAAAATGGGAAAAAATATTTTTAACTCATATACTTGTAAGTATTTTAGTGTCAAAAATAGCATGAAGAACTCCTAAAATTCAACAACAACAAAATAAACAACAGTTTTAACTTCAACAACAAAAAGATAAACAACAGTTTTAGAATGGCCACAGTACTTTAACAGACATTTCCCTCAAGGAGATATACAAGTGGCTAACAACATGTGAAAAGATGTTCAACATCCTTAGTCATTAAGGAAAAATCAAAAACAGAGAAAAGCCACACATGCCAGTATAGCAGCACTCAGGGGTCTGAGGCAAGAGGGTTGTAAACTCAAGCCAATCCTGGGCAACTTGAGGACTTAGTGAGACCCTATCTCCAAATTTTTTAAAAATATAAATGGGTAGAGATGTAGCTTAGTTGAAGACCCTGGGCTCAGTCCGTAGTATTGCAAGCAAATGAAAAAGACGCCACTATACAGCTACTAAGATGGCTATAGTTTTTTAAAAAAAGAAACTAACAAGTATTGGTGAGGATGTGGAGAAGTTAGAACACTTATACATTGCTGGTGGGAATGTAAAATATGGAAGACACATTGACAGTTCGTAAAAAGCTAACCACAGAAATACCATGTGGTCCAGCAATCCTCTTCTGTGTATATACCAAAAGAATTGGAAACTGGGACTTGGACACTTGCTTGTCCTCTAATGTTCATTGCAGTGTTATTCATAGTAGCCACAAGGGGGCGTCCATCCAGCTGTCCAGACAGGTGAGCCGATGAACAAAATGTTGTCTGTACATACAATGGAACATTGTACAGCCTTAGAACATGCATGTTATGTGTTACATGTAGTGATGCATGTTACAAAACAAATGACCCTGAAAACAATATGTGAAGTGAAAGAAGCCAGGCACACAGCATAGGTACTGTGTGCTTCCACTCGTGTGAAATCGCCGAGATAGGCAGTGAATGAAGACATAAAGTCGATTTGAGTTACCTGGGGCCGGGAGGCGGAGATGGCAAGCTACTCCTGGAGTGTAGCTTCTGTTTGGAGTGATGAAAGATTCTGAAAACAGCAGCAATAGTGGCACAACAGCATGAATGTAATTAATACCACTGAGTTGTACATTTAAAAATGGCTAAAATGACATATTTTATGTTTTCATCTTACCACAATGAAAAAGAGAGACTAAATGAGAAAGAATGAGAGGAAGAGGGAGGGGAGGACAGAAGAAGTTAGAAAGTGGCCCAGGCCTCCCTGGTCATGCACAGCAAGCAGGGACCCCCAGGCCGGCATCCTTCCCTCCTCCTGCACTGTCCTCCTGTCCTGCAGACACGAGTCATGCTGCTGTGGTCATGGTCACCACCATGTCTAGCCTGCTGGGCTTGGAGCTGAGTGCCTGCTGCCAGGATAGCTCCGTTTCCCCAGGACTTTTAATCCAGCCCCATCCAGTAAGCAAACCATGCCATGTTGATGACTCTGAGTTGCCTGCGATGGCCAGGATTTACCCCAAGCTGCTCTGCCATCCACCAAATGGGCTGCAAGGGGACTGTGTTTCTGACTGACAAACATTCGAGTTGCAAATTTTCATAGTTGTACTGTGTAAGATACACAGATGTACTGTATAGCACTCACTTTGTCAGATTACCTGTGAGTCTGACTTACGGACATTCTCCTAGAATGGAACCAATTCATAAATTGGGAACTTACTGTACATATTAACTTCTCAGGCTTTTCTTTGGGGGGTAGGGGGGACAGGGTTTCTCTATGTAGTGCAGGCTGACCTTGAACTCGCAGTGATCTTCCTACCTCCACCTCCTGAGTGCTAGGATTACAGGCATGTGCCACCACAACCAGCTCCTTCTCTGGCTTTTGTCCTGCAACCTGTCCTGTCCTGCCACTGTTTACTGTCAGGATTTCTGCTCTCATACCAAGTTCGCAGTAGTCTAGCACCGTGCAGTTCACCTGTTTTTCTCTCAGTTGGGAAATAAGAGAGAACATGAAACAAACGACACATGGAAAAAGTCCCCAGGGAGCTCCTACTTAAGCCCAGGAGATAGATGGAGCCTGGCAGATAGAGCCAGGCTGAAGTGTGATGGCCACGCGCCCACGTTCCCCTTTGTATACTGGCCTCCAGGTGCCTTTGACTTTTTGTGTCTGTGACCTCTGTCCTGTTTCCCTTTGCAGGTATCCCCAGTGAAGATCTGTGACTTTGACCTGGGCAGTGGGATGAAACTCAACAGCTCCTGCATGCCCATAACCACACCAGAGCTGACCACTCCAGTACGTATATATGTGTGCCACCTTGGGCCCTTCATGTTGGGCTGCTGGGCTTGGGGGAGGCCCCTGACCCAAAGCTGTGGCATCCAGAACAGAGGGCGAAGGATGGAGAACCAAGCACGTCTGCAGCACTTCCCAAGCCCAAACTGTCCTTTGCTCAGTGCTCTGCACTGGTAGTTCCCAAGCCTGTCCCATTACTAACAAAACTGACATTGGCACTTGAGTGTAGTGTCAGTCATCTCTGCTAAGCAGGGGACAAACTGTCTCCATGGCACAGGCTGCATCTAGATTCCTGTCCCAGGTAAAAACACACTCCTCTCAGCCCAGCCCTGGTTGCCCACGCAGCAGCCAGTGTAGCTCTGAGTGGAAGTGGGGTGCTGTCCTCCCCCCTGGAGGAAAAAGGAGTATTTGTGAGAGGAATTGTGAAGTCCCTGGCTCCTGCGGTGGGGGGATTCCCTACACGTTTCACTGCCAGTGGTGCTGCTGAGAGCTACTTCTTCCAACCACATCTTTTAACATACTTGATGCACTGTAGCTAGGGTGGTTCTTTTGAAATTTTGTATGTTTCATAAGTGAGTTTTCCTGGTATCCTTTATAAAAGACATGTCTTTAAATGTGCCACTCTGCCTTTTTCTAAGTAACCTTACTAGGAATGTTTCTGTAGTAGTTTCTAACACACAGCCTACCTTGTTCTCAAAATCATTAATTCAAGGGGCCAGGGAGATGGCTCAGTAGAATAAGCACTTCCCTGGAAAGTGCAAGGGCCTGAGTTCAATCCCCAGTTCCGCAAAAACAAAACAAAACAAAAATCTCAAAATCATTAACTCTAATTGTTTATAATAAAGAAAATATCCTTTTTGAGAGCACTTACTACCATCCAATCACATTAACTTCACAGGGTAGGAATGGGGCTGCTTCTCTGCCTGTAATAATGAAGGGGGAAGCCAATAAGATGTGTTTTACCCTTCTTGGCAGGTTTCTGTGCTAGAATGGAGGAGTTCTGCATCCTCGTCCAGGGTCTCCTACTGCTGCACGCCCTGTTCCTTCTTGAGCCTTACTTTTTCCATCTATAAATAGGGGAAGGAGGGAGGGCTTGTCACAGTTCTTCCAGTTTTGATGGTCTCTTAATTCTAAATCCTTATACTTCCTTGCTCCCACTTAGTAAGGAAGCTAAGCAGAGGTCACTTTAAGAAATCCCTTGCTTGAAAAATAAAAAAAATAAATTAAAAAAAAAAAAAAGAAATCCCTTGCTGGATGGAGCTGGCTTTCCACAGAGCTCCCTCCCAGGCTCTGTTCCTGGTGCATTTAAGTCCTGGCACCACACACGGTTTTTGGCGCACCACGGTAGAGAGAAGCTCTCTGCCCAGTGCAGAAGAGGTGTGTTGGGCTCACTTAAGCCTCTCTCAGTGCCTTGGTGGTATAGACAAGCCCTCTGACCATCCTGATGACGCTGGCCTTCCATCCTCTCAGCTCACATTCTACACCTTGCCACCTCCTCTCCTGGGACTCACCTCTTCTCCCCTCTGCCATCACCCCCTTCCTTGGTACCTACAGTGCGGCTCTGCAGAGTACATGGCCCCAGAGGTGGTAGAGGTCTTCAGGGATGAGGCCACGTTCTACGACAAGCGCTGTGACCTGTGGAGCCTGGGTGTGGTCCTCTACATCATGCTGAGCGGCTACCCACCCTTTGTGGGTCACTGTGGGGCTGACTGTGGCTGGGACCGGGGAGAGGTGTGCAGAGTGTGTCAGGTAAGCAGGGCCCACGGAATGGTCTCCCCACAGGGGTCAGTGGCATGCCAGGCAGGACAGGGCTGGGGTTGCTCCTGGTCTGGTAAGGGTTTGTGCTGCCCCTTCCCCTTCCCACAGGGCAGTCATGAGCTGATGGTCAGGCACTCACTTGAGATAGACGTTTGAGGGAAGACTTGGAGCTCATTCCTCTGAAGGATGAGGCTTGGCTGGAGAAGAGGGGCAGGAAATATAAGGAGGACCAGCACCAGCAAAGATAGAGGCGAGACGCGAGTGCTGCTGTGTGCAGGAAGGGAGAGAAGTATAATGCACTTAGTGGTGGTGGGAGACGTGGCCCGAGAATGCCAGGAGCCAACTCGCAGGGTAGGCTTTGATCTATTGGCAGGACACTCGTCAGCCTCCCAAATAGTATCACTGTTCTGACAAGGGCATTCTGTATCCTCTGGAGATTTGAGGAGTGCTGTGTTGGGAAAGGGACTATATCTGTAGCATACCCAAGCCACACACAGCAGCTGAGGTCACTTAGAACCAGGCTGATCAGAACAGTGGCAGGTGCATCCTGGCACCCCTGGCCCATGTGGCTTCAAGAGGAATCTTCTTTACCTAGAACAAGCTGTTTGAGAGCATCCAGGAAGGCAAGTATGAGTTTCCTGACAGGGACTGGGCTCACATCTCCAAGGAAGCCAAAGACCTCATCTCCAAGCTCCTGGTTCGAGATGCGAAGCAGAGACTCAGTGCTGCCCAGGTTCTGCAGCACCCTTGGGTGCAGGGGGTGAGTGACACCAGAGAGGGGTGGTGTGTACCCCAACTGCGAGCAAGCTGTCCTACCAGCAAGTGAAGAACCCCAGAGGAAGCTCTGACTTTCCTTGCTCTCTCATTGGGAAGTCGGACCCCACAGACAAGCAGAGCCAAGTCCTAGTGCTGGGCAGAGAGCCTGTTGCCAGCTGCCCCCTCTGTGCTGGCTGGGGTAGGGCAGCTGTGGAAAGGAAGAGCAGCACAGACTCACACCCTCTCCTTCCATTCTAGCAAGCTCCAGAAAGGGGACTCCCCACGCCGCAGGTCCTCCAGAGGTAAATGCTCCGACTCTGCCCAATGCCTTCTCTCCTTGGCTTTCCCTCTAGCCCTCACCACACTGGGGCAGGGATGGGGCACAAGGAGACGACCTCCGGGCTCAGGATGCCTTTGGAGCAGTTTCCGTGCCCCTTCTTTATCCCCTCAGACCCCTTCGCTGTCTTCCCGACATTGTCGCTCTCTCCCTCCACCTCGCTTGCTTCCTGCCCTCCTACGCCTCTCAGGCCTCTCCTGTCTTATTTCCAGGAAAACACTTTCCATAACCACTTAACTCTCATTGGAGATATATACCATATAGGGGTTGCCCTGCTTGTGGAGTTGGTGAGAGTTGGGGTGCAGCACTGTAAGGCAGAGGGATCAAGTGTCACATACACTACAAAATAGACCACAATGCCGTCATATTTTGTGTCACTGACTGAAAAGTCATTATGCACCAGATGAGTATATTCCAGTTTAAAGAGAGGTTTTCTTCATTTTATAGATGACAAAACTAAGAAATAGAGAGATCAAGAGAACTTGTTTAAGGCTGCACAGTGGGCCTTGACTGTAAGAGCCTTTTAACAACCAGATGTATGTTTCTGACAGGCTCTACCCTGTCCCAGGTAAGCTGTGTGGGAAACTCACTTGGGAGTCAGCCACATGGCCAGTTTTTAGAAGTTTCGCAGGGATGTCTTACCCCTCATGGTCTCGATTCATTATCCTGGTGGTGCTGCTGCCCAGCTGGGGTTCCCACCTGATTCTCTGGAGCCATTTCCAAAATCTTTCAAGCACCAGATCTCAGATCCTCCTCCAGTGATATATTTGATAAATTCAAAGTGCCTGTCACAGTAGCCCTGACCTAGGATCTGAGGACACCAACATAAGCGGCACAGCCTTGCTCCAGGAGCTCGCTTCCCTTCCTGGGGAGAGGACCACAGGGGAGCTTAGTGCACAGTGGTGGAACACAGGAGGGTGCTCTGAGAGCATCTGACTGTCTAGACTAGTGATCGTGGATGAGGCTCCCTTCCAGCCTCAGTCAAGCAAGAATCCAGACCAGGAAAGAACTGCTTTGGAGAAAGCAGCCCGCACAGCTCAGGAAATCCGGGGAAGCGTGGCACCCAGCCGGAGCAGCACATTACAGAGCCAGCCTGGCCAACCGACTGACCGACTGGGGCTCCTGCCTCCCTCTTCACACCCTTTCCTGCCCCTCCAGGAACAGCAGCACCATGGATCTGACACTCTTTGCGGCTGAAGCCATCGCTCTTAACCGCCAGTTGTCTCAGCACGAGGAGAACGAACTGGCCCAGGAACCAGAGGCACTGGCTGAGAGCCTCTGCTCTGTGAAGCTTTCTCCACCCTCTAAGTCTCGCCTGGCCCGCCGGCGGGCCCTGACCCAGGCGGGCCGATGTGGAGAGGAAGGCCACCCCTGACTGCTGCTGAACTCTGAGCTGCTCCAGTCACGTGTTCCGGCCTAGACCCATCGGGGCCTTGCCCCCCAGAAACCTGTGAGACCAGAGTCTGAGGAGCAGGCTGAGGGGCCTTCTCTCTGGCTCCAGTCAAGCCTTCTCCATCCACAAAGGCCAGGCAGTTCCCACCCAACCCCCATTTCCCCAGGGTCCTTGGAGGAAAAAGCTTTTTCCGAAGGGGTTGTCTTTGAAAAGGAAAGCAATCACTTGTCACTTTGCATAATCGCCTGCAGCAGGGGCATCTTTTTCTGGGGCTCCACCTGCTCACCTGCCTGCGGATCCCTAGCCGGCTCCTCTGGAAGTGGCAGCTGGGACCACAGCCTTCAGGGAGCCACCTTCAGGAAGCAGAGCTGTGGGCTGACAGTGGCTGCA